TGCAGGGGGCGCTCGGGCCGCGCCTCCGCCCGCACGGGGGCGACGCGGCCGCCTCCCCGCTGCCCAGCAACCAGTGCGGGTCGAGGGATGGAGCGCATGCAAAGTTGTGTTGACAAAACAGCTCCAAAGTGCTCATTTAATTATTTTCTGGGCACAAAGGAGGGCCATGTGGTGTAATAATAGCTTTCTGGGTCGTCCACAATAACTGGCATTTGCCTAGGACGTTCTAATTTACAGAGCACATTAATTGGCGCAAATCCAGTCATATTTAAAAGTACCTAGCGGGGAGCCTGGCAGACGAAATAGACTCAGTAAGCTCCACTTTATGAATGCGAAAACTGAGGCTTGGAGGCTGGAGGACCTACCCAAGCCTCTGTCAGAATTACTCCGAACCTGAAGCCTTTGCGTTCTGGATTTTTAAAATTCTTATTTATTTATTTTGCCTTTTTGCCTTTTTGCCTTTTTGAGACAGGGTCTCACTACACAGTTTAGGCTGGCCTTGAGCTCACTTTGTAGCCCAGGCTGGTCTCGAACTGGCAGTAATCCTCCTGCCTCAGCCTCCCGAGCGCTGGGATTACAGGTGTGGACCACCGCGCCCGGCTGCACTGTGAATCTTGAGCCCTGGGAATCTCCTCCCCGTCCTCCAGCCCCCTGGCTGCACGGCCCTGAAACCGCGGAGAGCCAGGGGTCACCGACGGGCGGGGCAGGCGCGGCGGGGCCCTGGTGAGCGGCCTCCGGAACCTCAAGTGCGGGAGCAGGTGGGGAAAGAGCCAGCAGGAAGTGGGGAGAGGATGGAAATAAACAAGCAGGCTGGAGACAGCCCGAGAAAGTAAACGCGCCCAGCGAGGCAGAAAACTGATGGATGGCAGAGTCTCCGGAGGAGCAGCCGGCGAGGGTGGAGGGAGCCGCGGAGCCGGGAGGGCGCTGCCTGGGGAGCCAGGGCGCGGAGCTGCCCTCACTCCTGAGTGCAGCTACCGATGGCTCACTGGCCCGAGACCCGGGAGGGAGGGCGACTGCAGGGCGCTCAGCTCAGGGCAGGGCTCCCAGGCAGAGAAGGGAGCGGGGGGCAGGGGTGGGCACTGGCCCAGCGCTGGGCCTGGTGCCTGAGGTTGCCTGGGGTCTCTCGGGCACTCCGAACCACCCGCCACCGTGCCCTGTCCTGCGCTGTCACGTCTGGCTGAAGGCTTGGGCACAGGACCACACTGGCCCTGGATGCTTGGCATGCATCGGACCGCGCTCAGACAATTGCGACAAAATTAGCCAATTTCCAAAACCTGTTAAACAGCCTCCTCAGAGCAGCTCTGTCAGGCCATTTTCAAAGCCTTGAGCTGCCGAGGAGGTCTGCAGTGGCGCATTCCGGGCTGTCCTCTTCTCCAGTTTTTTGCTTTTGTTTTTGGTGTTTTTTGTTTTGTTTTGTTTTATTTCTTTCTTGAGGCAGGGTCTTGCCGGGAATGTAGTTCAGGTTGGCCTTGAACTCACGATGATCCTCCTGCCTCAGCTTCCTGAGCACTGGTATTATTGGTGTGCGCCACCACTGACTGACTTCCCTCAGTGGTGCCTGCTGCAGCAAGACCCTGACTCCTGGTGTCCACTGCTGGGACCCACAGTGACCCCTGGGGCCTCCTATTGTTCTGACCCAGCCAAGTGATGCCCAGGGCAGTGTACCAGGCTCTGAACTGCAGGTTCCAGCTCCTGCTGGCAGGAAATGGGCTGTGTGACCTCACTTCTGAGCTGCAGGGCCCTTCCTATAAGTGAAAGCCAGACGAATTTATAACTGACTGGGAAAAGGAAATGGGAGTTTTAAAAAATCATAGAGCTGCAAAGCATCTTTAAAATGACCTACCTTGCCTCCCTTACTTTATATGTAAGAAAACCAAGGGAAGCTGGGTGTGGTGGCGCACGCCTGTAATCCCAGTACTTGGGAGGCTGAGGCAGGAGGATCATTGTGAGTTCAAG